ACACACATACACACACATCACCAAATAGCATTTTGGAGCCAGGATGAATGAATGTTTAGGTCAGAATAGAGAAGTATTTAGGCAGGTGGGGCTCCTAGGAACACGCCAGGCTCCCAGTTCCTCTCTGGCCCTGCCAAGGAGGACTAGCTGCTATCTAGAGAGAAGCTCCACATAAGTCTTTTGGATTTGAGATGAGTCTGGAGATAGAGAGATAACCCTCTTCCACATCCAGCTGAGGCCATCTAACAAGTAACTCTCTCTTTTAGAGAAGGCGGGGAGGTCAAGACCTGTGATTCTATTGGCTTGAAGAACTCAGTGTAGAAAGAAACTCCCTCCATTGATGGAAGATCAGCAATTCTCCTCATTAGTCATAGATTTAGAGTAGGACTTCTTAACTTTTTTTTCTTCATATGATGGACCCCTTTGGCAATTTGATGAAGCCTGTTTTCAGACTCGTGTTCTTAAATGCATAAAATAAAATGGACAAGATAACAAAAGAAACCAATTATATTGAAATACAGTTATCAGAAAAATTGTATAGACAAATTAAGAACCTTAGAGAATATACTTAGGAGTCAACATGGTAGAGTTAGTAGGAAGACATGATATAACTAGCATATGTCAGAGGTAGGACACTCAGTTCATCCAGTGAGCTAGGCTTTCTCTCCTGAGAAAAATAAGGACCAAAATAAAACACCTCAACCACTATGAAGGCCTTATATCTAGAACTGAAAGGGACCTTAGCAGCCATTGAGCCCTTCATTTTACAGAGGCAGAAAATAAAGCCCAGAGAAGTTAAGTGACTTGCCTAAGGTCATACAGTAAGTAGGTGGGAGAGCTGGGATTCATGTTCATCAATCAATCAATAAACTTTTATTAAGTACCTACAACATGCCCAGGCAGCTAGGTGGTACAGTGGATAGAATTTTGGAGTCAGGAAGATCTGAGTTCAAATCCAGTCTCAGTTATGTACTAGCTGTGTGACCCTAGGCAAGTCACTTAATGCTGTGTGCCTCAGTTTCCTCACCTGTAAAATGAGCTAGAGAAGGAAATGGCAAACCATTCCAGTATCTTTGCCAAAAAAACCTCAAAAGGAGTCATAAAGAGTCAGAAATGACTGAAAACAACTAAACAACATGTGCCAGGCACTGTGCTAAGTGCTAGGGATACAAAGAGGCAAAAAAAAAAAACCAGTCTCTGCCCTCAAGGAGCTAAAAATCTAATGGGAGACAAGATACAAACAAATCTATACAAAGCATGCTACGAGTAAGATAAATGAAAATCAATTAGCCAGAATTAAGAGGGGTGGGGAAGGCTTCTAGTAGAAGAAGGGATTTTAGCTGGGCCTTAAAGGAAGACAGGAAGGTCAGTAATCAGAGCAGAGGAGGGAAAACAGTCTAGGCTTGAGGGAGAGCCAGAGAAAATGCCTGAAGCTGAAAGACAGAATGAATGTCTTGCTCATGGAACATCCAGGACGGTGTCACTGAATTGAAGAGTACCTGGGAATAAGGAGTAAGAAGACCGGAAAAGTATTATGGGGCTACATTATAAAGGGCTTTGAACGCCAAACAGAACATTTTGTATTTGATCTTGGAGGCAGTAAGGAGCCACTGAAGTTTATTTATTGAGGAGATGTGTGCTTTAAAAAAATCATCTTAGTGTCTGAATGGAGGACAGATTAGAGTGGGGCAAGACAAGGTAGGCAGACTCACCAGCAGGCTATTGCAAAAATCCAGCCATGACATGACAACAGCCTGCACAGAGGGGTGATGGTGTCAGAGGAGAGAAGGGGGCATATTCCAGATATTATGAAGGTGAAATCAAGAGGCCTTGGTAGCTGATTGGATATGGAGAGATACAGAGAAATAGTGAGGAGTCCAGGATGACTCCCAGGTCCTAGCCTGAGGGACTTGGGAGGATGGTGTTGCCCTCTATAGTAATAGAGAAAGTAGAGGGGAGGGATTAGGGGAAAAGATAATGAGTTCTCTTTTGAACATGTTGAGTTTAAGATTTCTACTAGATTTCCAATTCAAGATGTCTGAAAGGCAATTGGAGATGTGAGATTGGAGGTCAGCAGAGATTGGGGCAGGATAGGTAGACTTGAGAAACATCAGCATAGACATGGTAATTAAATCCATGGGAGCTGGTGACATCATCAAGTGATGTAGTATAGAGGGAGAAGAGAAGAGGGCCCAGAACAGAACCCTGAGGGATATCTAGCGTTAGAGGATCTAGGGAAGAGGATCCAGCAGAGAAGAAGCAGTCAGATAGGTAGGGTGAGAACCAGGAGAGAATAATGTCATAAAAACCTAAAAAGAAGAGAGTATCAAGGAGGAGAGAGTGATCAACCATGTCAAAGGCTGCAGAGAAGTCAAGGAGAATGAGGATTGAGAAAAGGCCATTCGATTTGGCAACTAAGAGCTCATTACTTTGGAGAGAGCAGTTTTGGTGAATGATAAAGTTGGAAGCCAGATTATAAAGGGTTAAGAAGAGAATAAGAGGAGAGAAAGTGGAGACAGCTATTGTAGAAGCCTTTTCAAGAAATTAAGCTACAAAGGGTAGAAAAGATATAGGATGATAGTTAGCAGGGATGGAAGGGTCGAGTGAGAGGTTTTTTTCAGGGTGACGAAAACATAGCATGTTGGTAGGAAGTAGGAAATGAGCCAGCAGAGAGGGAGAGATTGAACACAAGTGATAGCATGGGGGTGACAGAGGGGACGCTCTGTTGGAGGAGATGGGATGGAATGCGATCAGTTGAACACTTCATCATGGGAGACAGGGGGAAGGAAAAGAGAGTGGCAAAAGGCACCCGAGTGATAAATGAGGAAGAAGAGAGCTTACTTGTCCACTGCCATTGGGCTAGAGCAAATCTGCCAAATTTTCAGAGAAAACCTTTTCCTGTCTAGGTGAGATCCTCATCCCCAGGTCCCTTCAGCCCACTCCTTCACAGTCCCCACCCCAGCCCTGCTTCATCTTCCCAAATGACCCAGCAGGTAAACTCATCCAGGGTGATAAGCCTCCATTCAGGAATAAGGCTGCTGATGGAAGAGGCGTCCGTGCTCCGTGACTTATGCTGCAGCACCACCTACTGGTCACATTCCAGAATCACCATGGTGATCATCCTCAAAACATTTTTTTCATTGCTGAGTCAAGTTTACCCTACCTATGAGATAGTGCTGATCGAGGCTGACGTGAACATTGGACGCGTGCAAACAGCCATGCAGATATCTATATCTATATATCTATATCTATATTCAGTAAATCTATCTGTCAACAAACACTTAATGGACGTCTTCTTATTGAACAAGTGGTTCCTAAGTATCTACAGGCAAGGCCCTAGGGCTAGGAGCTAGAGAGGAGGCTCACTCTACCCACCATCTGCAGGTCTGCTTAGTTTCAAGTCCATGGAACAAGAATCTCATCACTTAGCTGTCAGCTCAGCTTTGGATACCCAACCCTTTTCCAAGCCCCTTCAGCCTCCTCTAAGCTCTAATTAGAGGGCTGGAGGGTAGAGTACTAAATTCCCCCCAAAGCTTTCCTTTGTAGGTTAGGATTTGGGCTTTCCAGCTCAATCCACTTTCCATCTACAGCTCCATGGAACCATGGAACGTTCCCTCACCTTAACCTTTTGCAAATTCCTTTTGTGTATGTTTTCTTCTCCCATTAGATTGCAAGCTCCTTGAGGGCAGAAATTTTTTTTTCTTACTTGTGTCCCTAACACTTAGCACAGCGACTGGAACATAGTAGGTGCTTAATAAATGTTTATTGAATTGAAATTAATTGAATCAAAGAACATGAGAGGCAGGGTGGGGCAGTGAAAGGTCATTGATGCTGGGAGCCAGGAAACTTAGATTCTAGTACTAGGCTTTTTTTTTTTATTAATTAATTCATTTTTAGTTTTCAACCTTCTTTTCCATAAGCTTTTGAGTTTTAAATTTTGTCCCCCTTCCTTCCTGCCTCCCTCCCCAAGACAGTGTGCAATCTGATATAGGCTCTACATATACATTCCTATTAAACATATTTTCACATTAGTCATGTTGTGAAGAAGAATTAGAACCAATAGGAGGCACCACAAGAAAGAAGAAACAAAACAAAACAGAAGGGAAAAAAAAGAGCAAATAGAATGCTCCCATCTGCATTCAGACTTCACAGTTCTTTCTCTGGATGTGAATAGCATTTTTCATCATGAGACTTTTTGGAAATGTCTTAGATCCTTGCATTGCTGAGAAGAGCTAAGTCTATCAAAGTTAGTTATCGCACAATGTTAATGTTGCTGTGTACAACATTCTCCTGGTTCTGCTCACTTCACTCAGCATCAGTCCATACAAATCTTTCCAGGTTTTTCTGAAGTCTGCCTGTTCATCATTTCTTACAGCACAATAGTATTCCACTACATTCGTGTACCACAATTTAAAAATGTTCAGCCATTCTCAATTGTTGGACATCTAGTACTAAGCTTTGATGTCGAATCCCTGTGATTTGGGGCAAGTAACCCACCTTCTCTCGGGGATTAAATATAAAATCCACTGGCATTCAAAGCCTTTCATAATCTATGCCACCCCCTACTCACTCTCATACCTTTTCAGTCTTCTTATACCTTATTCTATGAAACATATTCTGAGGTCCAATGGCAATGCTGTTCCTCGTGCAAGAGATTCCATTTCCCAACTCCAGGCATGTCCCCCTTGCCTGGAAATCTCTCTTCCTATCTCTGCCTCTTGGCTTCCCTGACTTCCTTCAAGTCTCCACTAAAATCCTAACTTCTACAAGAAGCCTTTCCTATCCCACCCCCAACAGAACTAGTGCTTTCCCTCTGTTGATTAGCTTCAATTTTCCTGTATATATACTATTTGCACACAGTTGTTTGCATGTTCTGTCCCCCATTATACAGTGATCTCCTTGAGGGCAGAAACCATCTTTTGCCTTTCTTTGAACCCTAGAGCTTAGCACCATGCCTGGCACAGAGTAGACACTTAACAAATATTTATTGAATAACTGACCTGGGCAGTTAGGTTGCAAAGCGGATAAAGCTCCAGGCCTGGAGTCAGGAAGATGAGTCTTCCTGAGTTCAAATCTGGCCTCAGATAACTTGCTAGCTGTGTGGCCCTGGAGAAGTCATTTATCCCTGTTGGTCTCAGTTTCCTCATCTGTAAAATGAGCTGGAGAAGGAAACAGAAAACCACTTCAATATCTTTGTCAAGAAAACTCCGGCTGGGATCACAAAGAATCAGATATAACTGAACAACAAAACTGACCAGGACTCAATTTCTTTATCTGTCGGGGCAGGTAGGTGGCACAGTGAGTAGAGCACAGGCCCTGAAGTCAGGAGGACCTGAGTTCAAATCTGGCCTCAGACCAACACTTGACACTTACTAGCTGTGTGACCCTGGGCAAGTCACTTAACCCCAATTGCCTAAAAAGGAAAAAAAATGCAATTTATTTATCTGTGAGGGGTTAGGACTAGGCGACGAATGAATGAGTATTTATAAAGTGTTTATTATGTGTCAGACATCATCTGAGTGATTCATTTACTAAGCATTTATTAGATGTTGGGAAGGGATAAAAAATTTAGATATAATCATAAGTGACATATAGTATTTTACACACATCATCAAATTTGACTGTCACGACAGCCCTGCAAGGTAGGTACCCTAGTATAGTTCTCAATGTGTTCTGGCATCGCAGGGCACTACAGTGAACTCACAGGGCCACTAAGGGATATTTTCAGTTTTGAGGGAAACACAGTGGTCAGATATTGTGCAAACTACAAGTCTGGAAGAATTCACAGTTTCAAAATTAGATCCTGGGGCAGCTAGGTGGCAAAGTGGATAGAGCACCAGCCCTGGAGTCAGGAGGACCTGAGTTCAAATCCAGTCTTAGATACATACTAGCTGTGTGACTCTGGGCAAGTCACTTAACCTTTGCTTGCCTCAGTTTCCTCCTCTGTAAAATGTGAGCAATAATAGCACCTATCTCCCAGGGTTGTAAGAATCAAAATGAGATCATCTATGTGAAGCACTTAGCACAGTGTCAGGCACATAGTAGGCACCATGTAAATGTTAGCTTATGATAATGATGTGCTCCGGGAGAAGTTCATTAGCACATAGGGAAAGCCTCGTGGCATGGGTGCCATTTGAGCTGCACTTTTAAGGATGGACTGGAATTCAGCAGACAAAGAAAGGGAGGGAGAATGGGTAAGTGAAGAGTGTATTTCAGAGCCAAGAATAGTTCACTCTGCCTAGAGCACAAAATGCCTGGAAGAGACTGATAAGAAATCATCCTGGAAAGGTACAGCAGCATCAGATTGTCCCGGGCATGCCAGGGAAACCAGCTTGAATTTGACTCAAGAGCTTGAATTTGACTCAAGAAGCAATAGTGAACTTCTGTTGATGTATCAGTCATGCTTACTTTTTTTCTCTCTACAGCAATACTATTTGTAATGTATAAAAAGTACTACGGGGGCAGCTAGGTTGTGCAGTGGATAGAGCACAGGCCCTGGAGTCAGGAGGACCTGAGTTCAAATCCTGCCTCAGACACATAACACTCACCAGCTGTGTGACTCTGGGCAAGTCACAACCCCAATTGCCTCACACACACACACACACACACACAAAAAAAAGGACTGTGGTCACAGTATAAATGACCACTTGGAGAGAAGAGAGAGTACTTGTTAGAAGGCTATTGCAATAATCCAGCCAGGTGATAATAAAGACCTGGTCATCTCAGTCATCCTGATGAACATTTGGCCACTGGACCCAGATGGCTCTGGAGGAGAAAGTAAGGCTGGTGACCTTGCACAGCCCTCCCTCACTCAAATCAAAGTCAATTGCAAGTCATGTCATCCTCTCCCTGATGTCACAGTCCTCTTCAAGAACCAAGGACAAACACAAACAAAAATAAACAAACAAACAAACAAATAAATGAGTAAACGAGCAAATAGATAAATAAATAAGTGAATGAATGAATAGACAAATAAATAAATAAAGACCTATATTAGTGAGGAAGCTGTGGGATAGAGAGAAGAGAATGGACATGAAGTATACTGACTTTTTTTTAAACAGAATTTTGTAACTGATTGAATATGAAAAGGAACAAAGAAAGAAGCCAAGATAACTTGAAGAGAAAGTGTAAAATGGAATTTCTGCAAACATAGTGAAGTCAAAAGGAAGAAGAGGTTTAAGTAGAAAAATGAGTTCAGTTATGAACATATTAGACTGGATGTGAAAGTGGAACATACAGTTAGAAATGTCCTACATGCATTTGGAAATGTGGGTCTGGAGTGCATGAGAGGTACAGGGCTGAACATAGATTTGGGGACCATGTCCATGGAGATGGGAGCTGAAGCCATGGAATTGTTAAAGAAGAGAGTGCAAAGGATGAAGTGTCAAGGGTCAATCAAGTCCTTGGAAGAATCCACATTAAGGGGTTAGGAAGAGGATGAAGAGTCAGCAAAAGAGAAAGAGGAAGAGTTGTTAGAGAGGGAGTAGGAGAACCAAGAGATTGGAGTATCTCTCAAATCAAGGAAAGAGTTATCTAGTTAGAGCAAGTGATCAACAGTGTCAACTATTGCAAGGAACTAAAGGAAGATGTGGACTGAAATAAGGCCATTGGTGATCTTTGGAAGAGTAACTTTTTTTTTTGGTGAAGCAATGGGGTTAAGTGACTTTCCCAGGGTCACACAGCTAGTGAGTATCATGTGTCCGAGATAAGATTTGAACTCAAATCCTCTTGACTCCAAGGCTGGTGCTTTATCTACTGTACCATCTAGCTGCCCCAAGAGTAATTTCTAATAAGACTGGGGGTGAGGGGCATGTCAGATTGTAAGGGGCTGAGGAAAAGGTGGGTTGCAAGAAAGCAGAGGCATTGAATACAGACAACTTTTTCAAGGAATTTAGTATTTGAAAGGGAGAAGAAATGGAATTGTAGCTGAGTAGGTGGTAGAAAAATCAAAGGTAGGATTTTTTAATATAAAGCTTCAGGATACCTTCAAAGGCTAGGCTCCTTAAAAAAAGGTTCGCTACTCTATGGATACACGTCCTCTCAAAACCATAACTCATCAGCCCCCGCCAATATTGAAGAGGTCTAGAGGCTTACAGGTGCTGGCTGCAAGATCATGACACATGGTTCTTGCCCGAAAGAATTCAACCCAAGCCTTCTTTCAGCCAAAGACAAGGTTTATTAAAGATGGACCTTATATACAGAAATACTGTGGAAGGGATCTAGGAGTGGCCAAAGAGTCTTCCAGGGGACTGTGAGATAATCATATGCCAGGGACCTAGACCAGGTAGCCAAGAGAGAATGAAGCCTAGATAAAATTAAGGGTGGGAAGTGGCAGGCTGGGTTATGGGTACTGAGAATTGGGAGATTGGGCTTAGCCACAATGAAAGGTCAGCTGATGGGATTATGACCTCAGGGGAATGCCAGGCACATCTTTGATCAAGTAGAGAATTCAAAGAGAATCCCTTAGACAAATGGGACCCAAATTCTATTTGGGGTAAAGGGCAAAGGTCTCAGCTTGGGCCCATACCCCATCAATGTGACTATCTTTAGTAGTCAGCCAGAAGCCATAATTAGTTCAAAGCAAAAGGCAAAGGCATTTAATGAGTGGTAAAGTAAGAAAAGCACCAATAAAACATTTCTCCCATAAACCTAATGTACACTCTCTCACAAATACATATGTCAATATGGTGAAATGTGGTGAAAGTGTACAGACTTAGGGAACACATGTGGACAGGCATACATGTAGGAACACATATGACTAGGGCACATCTCTTGCTACAACCCTGCAACACTATTGATGTCTTCTGGTATGGGCCCAAGCTGAGACTGTTGCCCCTCACCCCAAAAAGAATTTGGGTCCCATTTGTCTATGGACTCTTCTTGAACTCTCCTACTTGATCAAGGAAGTCTCTAGCATTTGCCTGAGGATAGCCTATCAACTGGTCTTTCCTTATCACCTACTCCTACACCCAATCTCCCTATTGTCTCTTACTTCCAGATGGCTCCCCTCACTTCATACCCTTGATCCTATCTAGACCCCATTCTTGACCTCCCAATCAGTCCCATCAAGATCCTCCCTAGACCTCTCCTCTGGTCACCCCAGTTTACTGACTACTCCCATCGAGATACCCTTTTTCCCAGACCCCTCCTCCAGTTACCCCAAACAACTTGGCCATTCCTAGATCCCCCCTGATGAGGCATGGGCCCAAGCCAGGACCTTTGCCTCTTGCCCCAAAAAGAATTTGGGTCCCATTTGTCTACTGACCCTAGAAAACCCTTAAACTTTTTTTGATCTCACTCTGATCTCAGGCGGTTACCCAAGGCTATATTCTACTCAATGGCTTTTTCTTCTCTCTCTCTCTCTCTCTCTCTCTCTCTCTCTCTCTCTCTCTCTCTCTCTCTCTCTCTCTTTCCCTTCCTCCATCCTTCCCTCCCTATCTCCCTTTGAAAACCTAGTGGGGTCTTATCCAGATCCCATTCAAACCTCTCCCATCCAGTTCCCTCATTATCTATTCCCATTATCTGTCTATTCAATCTCCCAGACATTCCAACCAGAATTCTCCCTAAACTCCTCCCTCAGTCACCCAGATCTAGTTCCCAGCCCTGATGAGGATGGGATCTAGACCCCAAAAAGGAAAAACCTTGGACTTTCCCACTTGGTCAAATCTCTGACGTTCCCCTGAGGTTATAATCCCATTCACTGGCCTTTCATTGTGGCAAATCTCCCAATTCTGGGTTACCCTCCATTGTCTTACCTACCAATGGCCCCTGGTCATTTCCCACCCTTAATCCCAGCTAGGCTCCATTCTCCCCTGGCCATTGTCCAGGTCCCGGGTGTACCCTTCACCCCAGCTTACTGGCCACTCCCATCCAGATCTCCTTAGACCCCTCCTCCAGCCACCCCAAACTACTTGGCCACTCCTAGATCCCTCCCACAGTCTTTCTGTGTATAAGGTCCATCTTGTCTCTATTAAGGTGCTTAGATTCTTAAAATCTAGCCACATGTTCAGATTCTTATTATCTAGTCAATAGCTCACTAATGTTCAGACTCCTTAAGAGTCTGCCCAATATGACAGATGTTGTAATAAACCTTGT